ATATACCGTGTTTTTTCCGACCTGTCCTGCGCGCCGTTACTACCGGACATATAACGCAGGTTTTTCGTTAGGTGGAATCATTATCGTCAGTGAATTCACGTGTTATACAATCGTTGAACGATTTTTCATCAATTCTTTAAATGCTATACTTAGCATTCATTGCAATAACCCCCCATAATATTATCACAGCCTCAGTGATCGAGTTGGCTAAGACGCCCGAGATCACGAATTTTAGAAATCTGGAAATGTCAGGAAATTTTACGATTTATCTGGATTTTTATATCGTTTCACATTTTTTTATGATTAATTTAAAGTTTTTAAAAAATAAACTTTTCTTTGGCTCTCTCTCTCTCAGCACACTAATCTTCTGTTTTGCTAAACATCAATTTATTCATAAGCGCGGTCGGTAATTTATATTTTCATCGTCGTGTTATTTTATTTCAATGTGTTCAACTGAGGCAAAACTATAAAACAAGATGAATTACTAAACAGTACTATCTAAGTAAGTTACTATCTAGTAAGTTGCAAACAAAATGCAGTTAAGCAAAACGAAAGCATCATATATTATTACGTACGGTATCACAAATGATTTGAATGGTTTGTAATGATATGTTCGTTCCTATTGCACATTGTATTACACATAGATGGTATAATTGCTTTAATTTTTACCTTTTTAAATTCCGAACTTTTGTTACCCGAGAAAAATGTCAAGGGCTTCGTCATTTAACATTTACTTGATTTACCATACAGATGTAAATGTACCATACAAATTATGCATCTTGAAAAAAGTTACACTAAACGGTCAGGGAAAAATTAATTCCGGTTCCTGGAAAACCTGAAAAAGTCAGGGAATTTTTTTCATTGAATTTGCTGGACACCCTGTTATTGTAATGAATGCTACGTATAGCATTTAAAATAATTGATCAAAAATCGTTCAACGATTGTATAACACGTGAATTCACTGATTCCACCTAACGAAGAACCTGCGTTATACGTCCGGTGGTAACGGCGCGCAGGACAGGTTGGAAAAAACACGGTATATGGATTCACTTAGTAATTTAATTGGCTACCTCCACCTGTGCCAGGTCCTAAATGGCTTTTACGTTTCTAATTGATTTATACCTTAAAAGGACCCAGTTGAAGTTTAGTTAAAAAATAGGTGTTTTGGAATAACACTTTCTCGGCCAGCTTCGCGCATTTATAAGCAGAGAACCTTATTTTAAATGAAACGGAATTTTGATTCGAAATGAGCTTGCAGAAATGTTTAGTGGATGGATATTAACAAAGGCTCTCCGCCAAATTTCTGGCGCGGTTGCAAAACGACTCTCTCTGTGTCATTCAGAAGAGTCGTTGGGTCGCGCAAACGTCTATCTTATTGTTAGCATGCAGGGGAGCTTTGTCGGGTATCCCGAATAAGTTGCTATCTCGAACACGCACTTTTCGTACAGCCAGAGCTTTATAGATATCCGCAGTGATCGCAGTGGCATACGCCGAAATGCCTGGATGCGCAGAAGCGATAGGCAGTGACACGTGTGCACGAGTGCACGGGATGCAGATGGCAGCAACATGCAGCGATGTGCAATCTAGATGCAGCCCCCGCAGGGATGACTGATCCGGCACAGTCATTTGGGCTTAGCAATCCCACGAATCCGAGCTCAATACATCGCGGACAATCGCGTACACTCGCACACATGACACACACCCGTACAAGCAAGTGTTTTTATCATAACGCAATAAACATTTGCGGAAGGTTGAAGCAAGACACAATCCTATTTACAAATAATAAGAACAATAAGGCTACGGATACGTGTTTGCTGTTCTTTTAAATTGAGGTACAGCCACAGACTTGTACTACTCGACTACTACCTTCGAGCTGAAAGGGGAGGAGTTCCGCCATGTCTCGTTGGGTAAATGAAGTAGATGTGTACATCCATGGTGTAAAGATACAAGGTGAAGCAATCTGGTGGATGCGCAGTGTCAACCGATCAGAAGTGGCTCAAACTACCGAATTGACCAATCAAAAATTTGCCCCAACCTTCAAACTGCAAATCATTGCAGTTGAATGCAGGAAGAACCAATGAACAATTTGTCCCAAAAATTGGTTACACGCGCAATCTTTCACCTCGTGTCTTTACACCATGTGTGCATCGGTCTGTCAGCGACTACTACTTTATTGACCTAACAAGACATGGAACTCCTGCCTCACCTTTCAGCCCGAAGGTAGCAGTCTAGTAGTGTATAGAAGTCTGCGGATACAGCACGTGCGTATAAGGCGCATACACTTTAATTTGTATTCCGCGACGCGAGTATCTTCTGAATCACAGGATATTATACATATTTTAATAATCACCGTGTCGTGCTCTCGAGGCGTGTAAACGTGCGGTGACTTTATAAATAACTTTTAATTATCATAAAATTTTTCATTTACGCGCCGGTGATAAAAGACACCGCGAGATACTCGATAAACAGAACGCTAACGTCATAAGGATATGCTAACATTATTTTGAAAAACAATCTGACGCGCGGGAGAAATATCTCGCCCGAGGGAGACATGTTGTGGCTACATAATCTTTTGAATTTTTAGTGGTAGATTAACACAACACGCTCTCCCAATATCAATACCGGAACATTATTATTACACCCAGCGTGATCACAATACCGCGCTCTCGCGTCCCTCGACTCGATATCCTTCTCGGTGGTTTATCGCGCATCCCCTGGCGCCGCGTCGAAAATTGCGGCGTGCAACGCCGAAGATAAACGGCGGTGCGAAGCGCGGCGTGCACGCTCGTGTGCATGCACAACGTTATTTATATTCGGGGCCGCGCGTGCACCACGAAGCCGGGCGATATTGCCTTTCTCGGCCGAGAGGGAGCGAGAGCCGTGGGGTAACGTCGGAGCCGGCGCGCCGCGGCCCCACAATCGACAATACGGATTTCGGAAATTAAAAGCTTCCTGTTTCGCATGCGAGACGCAGGACTCGGTCATCGCCTCTTTGCGGAAGTTGTGCTTTAACTCCCGTTCGGACCCCTTCGCCACCGAATCAGCGCGAAACTCGGAAATGGAGGGACGAATAGTAATAAATTTCGCTCTCGAGAGCTAAAGAGATAGCTGAATTAAGTAACTAGTCGTTTTACGACATTACTTGACAGCTTTCAGTTTGTCACCAATATAAACTCATTCTGAAAGAAGCTAATATGTGTCGAGTGTTCAATATAGTTAATAAAATCTATAAATATTTGATTGAGTAAAAAAATGTTAAAATTGTAAAAATTAAGCACGATATTTAACAGGCTTTTAGATCAATGATTGTTGCTTTTTCCCTAATACGGTTTTACGAATTTTCGTGTCCCAACAAAAAGTAATTTAGTATACGAGGGTGGGTTGAAAAGTTTTGAGCTAACATAGAAACAATTTTTTTCGGCCAGCGATGCTCGCTTTAACGCGTCCAAATAATAGTTGGCGTCTTGCTGTGCAATAATAGGCATCTGTCACTAATTTGCAGTTATAAATATACTACTGGAAATTGCAGTGGTGTACTTATAACTGTAAATCAGTGACTATTCACTGTTTTCAGTGATAATCCACTGATTGACTTTTAGAGAGTAGTTTCTTGTAATTTGACGACATTTCACATTTACGTGTGAATTATTTTGACGAATACACGTACACCTGATCGTGTATGAAATTACAAGGTTCCGCCTTTTCTCTTTTAATTAATTATGGATGCACAAACGCGAGGATAATTAAGAAACATCTTTCATCAAAGTGCTCACAGCAAATGCACAAACAGTCGAGACGAGCGATTCTCTAAGGACGATCCCGATGCTACTATTCCAATTTATACTGTGTCTACGGAACTAGGTGAATGCTGAGCGTCGATCTGTGACGTTGATCGGTGCACGCGATTTGTCTGCAGCCAACTTGGAACCGCAACTTCGAAATTCGGGAATACTTTTATTCGTTGGCGCGCGTGCTACATGTTACACTGATACGCGTCTACAAATCGCAGCGTCGCAGTGCTTGCTCTTTGTTTTACAAACATCGTTTTGCAAACGTATGTGATTAAAGATTGCGAACGTACTCGCGTATTCGTCAACGATAAACATGTATACATGTAAATTTACTATACACAGAATGTACGTAACTAGTCGCACCTTGTTAGTCGATGATGAAGAATTTGATAGGATTTAATCTAATAATAAAATAACACGTTACGAATCACTGTAAGGAAATATTCTAAAAGTTGCTCAATTGTATTATTAATTAAATCTTTTTAAATGTTTAATCGCGTGAATCGATTCAACTGATGAGTTTAATCTTTAAAGTTGTTTGAAAAAATTAATCTAGTAGAGCTAAAAAAAATATAACATTTATAGACACAGCAAACAAAGTAGGAAGGTTAACTAAATTATGGTATATTGTTTTAACGCGCTCAAGAATATGCTATTGTTTCTCTTGACTATTCAAGATTTCTGATATGTGTGTCATATCACCTGATACGAGTGTCATCTTCATGACAGGATGTGTGTAGTGGTGCGCGCTAAATTTGTATATCGTCAATATTAATATTAATAAAATGTACGAGTAACACAGTGACATAGAATATGCTTACGTCGCGCCAATAACATGCCAGTAACGAACTCTGATTGTTAAAACCTTCTTGAAATTTCAAAGACCGGACATCGATTATGACACTTCACTAATCGGATAATAAATAAGAATAAATGAGTGAACCGAGTGAACAGAAATCGATCACTGTGTCCTTTCAGAAAGAAATGACGGCAGATATAAAAATACAAAAATAAAACATTTATAAGATCTGTAAAGAACGTCCAAAAGATCTGTGCATCCGAACATAGAAATACAGTAACAGCAATAAAAGAAAATTTATGAAAAAGAGGGACGCGCGACGAGCCTCCGATGGTTGAACGTCGAAGGCCCGGGGAGAAAATAATCCAACGCCGGATGGAGAAGCTGAAGAAAATAGATTGGGCACTTACGACGTCGATTATTTGCATGAGCGTGAGGCCGAAGCTTAGCTGGAGGGGTTCGGACTCGTTGCCCACCGGCCGCTCCAGCACGTTGTACGCGTCCAGCAGGTCGTTTAGCAGCTTCTTCTCGTGGAGACCGCCACTTACCAGCCCTATGCCCAATCACAATCAGCAGTGAGTGAAAAGTTGCGCGCAATCAGTTGCGACGATCTCCCTAGTCCACGTCGCCGATGGCGCATCGCCTCGCTTCGGGGGAAAATGCAAGAAATGGGAGCGGGATAACGCAGGAATGACTACCGCCTCTCTCTCTTTCTCTCTCTCTCTCTCTCTCTCTCTC